GAGCCCCCGAATATCAATTAAATAACTTTTTTGAAACACACACACACACACACACACACACACTTTAGAAAAATGAAATACAGAATATGCTGATTATAAATGTAGCCCTCAGGTTGTTTTTTTTTTTTTTGAGACAGGGTCTCCTGTAGTTCAGGTCGGCCTTGAACTCACTATGTAGCCAGGCTGGCCTTGTACTCCAGATGATCCTCCTGAGTGCTGGGATTACAGACATGCATTACCATGCCTGGCTTCATTTCAGGTTTTTAAAATAGGGGCACCCTAACCTCTTAGAACAAAGATAAGGCATGCAGATCCTTTCTGATTGTGTAATCACTTGGTGATAGCGGTGTACACTAACAGACTACAAAGCTTCCAAAGTGTATTTCTACAACCCAAGTTAGTCTTGCAGAAATGTTTCCTAGAACTGAAACAAAAATAATTATAGGAAGTAGTGATTTTATTTAGGTTACTGGAATAGTGCATTACATTTCAAAGATCAGCTCTAAACTTCAACATCTAAGTAGATCTCAGATGTAGCAAATTTTAACCACTATAGATCAGTACACACACACCAGAACACGGCATGGGATTTCTGGAAATTATTTTCATCCCTAAGAAACAAAGAAAAACAAATCATATTCAAAAGGCCACCTGAGCTAAGGGAAACATGAACCTAAGTTGTTGCGCTGGTCTGAAGTAATTTAAAATCCATCATTTCTGTATTGCCGTTGTTACGGCAGCCCACCAATATGAAAAGTATGGAAAAAAATTATTATTATTTCCTCCTCCAAACTAGGAAGAGGGAAGAAAATATTTGAGGAAGAAGTACTTGAATATTAGAAAAACCACAAAACTTTACAGATTCCATAGCATTTCATATGCTCGAAATTCACTCTTTCTGCACTTATTATACATCTGCTATGCTGAGCACTGTCCCAAGTTTGTTGGGACAAAATCTGTGTCCCTTAGGAACTCTCAGTAATGGCACAGCAGCTATAGAAATGATACTGTGTGGTGAACTACAAAGGAAATATTTTTACAAAGACTTATTTGGTTAATGATTTTAGGAAGTAGTTAGGACACGCAATTACTTCCTTGTAGCATGAGCTCTTTCCCTGTTCTTCCATGTTTTGGTTTTGAGGAAAATAGAAATTAGATATTTTTCTTACTAGAAAAAAAATCTAAGTGGTGGCTCAAAGCTATAACATTTCAGTCTTTAATATAAGTAAAGGAAGATACAAAGTACAACCTTTCTTTGACTTGTTGAGACAAGGTCTGGCTAATAGCCTAGCCTTGAACTGAAGATCCTCCTACCTCAGGCTCTTAAGTGCTGGGGACCTAGGTGTGTGCCACCACGCCTGGCTAGCCACATCTAATTTTTAAAAGTTAAGAATATGACTCTCACATAAACATAAAATCAACACATTTAAAAAGTATTTGTCTGATTAATGAGAGAGACAATGTGATGATAAAGTTGGTTCCAAGAATAATTGAAGAGCTGGGAATTCACAGCATTTAAAAAAGCGTTAGAATAAGATTTTTAGGTTAGATGTATACCTGGTTAGTAGCCTACAAGGCAATAAGACCATAACTTTTGAGGTGTTCCTGCCTGCCAGACAGAAATCCACAGAGTAATGTGTAACTTCATCATGTCTGGGTTCTAATCAAATAGTAAGTAGCACATTCAAACACTGATATGTTCTGGAGATTGAAGCTGTGGGCGGGCCATTAAACAAATCCCCAGGATGACACTGGCAGGACATGCTCCCCACACACACCTTATTTCTGCATTTTAGATGTTTTTCTTAGTAACAGCATAGTGGTTAAGGTTGCAGATACACTGTAGGATTCTTGGCTCTGGCTCTGCTCGCTGGGTGTCCATACCAACTATGTCAGAATCTTCAAAATCATGCACGGATGAGGGATAAGCTGATTGGCTTTAGGAGGCTTCACAGAGAAAGGGACCAGAAAGCTACATCTTGAAATATGAATTGCCTTTGAAAGATGAGAAGTCACCAGAGAAATTTTATCAGCGTCCCTTAAGCCCTTCTTCCTAGGAGCTGTTATCTCAGAGTTTTTAAATTACTCTTCCTAAGCTTGGCTACAAAGTTCTCATAGTTGTGAATAATTGTAAGTAGAGATTACCAAAGGCAGAGATAAGAAACCAATAGAAAGAGGAGACAGAGAAAACCCACAGAAGGAAGGCAGACACTTAAAGGCGCTCAGCAGTAGCCTCAGGCTCCCAGGGCAGGACAGATAACATGTCTACAGCAATAACTGATGCTTAGCATAATGACCTTGGAAATATGTAATATGCAACATACTTGAATATGACTTCCATCCTAACGATTAAAATAAATTTGGCGATTAAAGGAATAACATGCAGTTCGGTTTGCAAGACGCTCTTCATTATTCTTGGAAATTAAAATAATTCTAATAGGAACACAAAATTATAATATTAATCAATGGAGACATACAGCATTTAAATACTAATTTTGCTTTATAGAGAACTGTTGGTCTAAAGTAAAAAACCAGATTAGTGAGAAGCGTGGTGAAGTTTTGTTCCAGTTAAACTGAGGATGTAGCTCAGGGAGAGAATGCTAATCTAGCACGTTTAAGGCCCTGGGTTTGATCCTCGCATCACAAGAACAATAACAACACCAAAACCAAACTGTGCCAATTAAATCTTAGGATGCGTAGTCCCTTGAATGAGAAAAAGAAAAAGCCTACCCTGAACCATACCCACATCTCAAATCTCCCATACTGGCAAGACTGCAAAATTTTTTCTATTACACATGCCCATCATCTAAGCTCCAATGAAAACCAAAAACACCGGCTACTAGCTCTGCCATAAAATAACACGGCTACTTGTCAGTACTCAGTGAAATTCATTCCTTTTTTAAAAAGTATAGTTTAGAACATAACTTGAAATCAAACTACTAAACAGCAGTGTTTTCTTTCGCACTCACTGGAAAATTCTGGTGCAAGGCAAGGAAGTCCTCTCCAGGTAAGGTCATCTAAGTCATCTAAGACCAAACCACCAAAGCAGGTTGGATATGATGGTACACACTTGTAATCCCAGCATTTGGGAGGCTGAGGCAGGAGGATCGCAAGTTTGAGCTCAGTCTGGGCTACATAGTGAGACCTTGTCTCAAAAAAATTAAACAGCCAAGCAAACCATCAAACAACAACATCAAACAATAACAACACCCGCCAAGGCAAAAAGGACAATGGTGATAGAATAAAATAATAATTAAAATTCTTGAAGTTATAAAATAAAATATGTAAGTATATGTGCTGCTGAAGCAAGCACAAAATAAAATACATAACTCTTTTAATTAGGTAGAACGTATAAAAGATTTCAATCCATATTATATTTTTTATCATTTAATTTTTTCCATAAAAAAGAAAATCAAGAATAGGAGTAGTTAAGCTTTTCATCACATTAAATCATTTATTCAAAGACTATAGTTCTGATGATATATTATATCAATATCTAAGTTAATAAATGCTTAATAGACACTTAAGTGAACAGCACATTATAAACACTTTAAGGTAGATTGATCAAATTCATTCTTTACTTGACACAGAAAATTCTTGTACCTTGAAATCTTTCAAAGTATGTAATTTAGAGGAAATACAAAATAATAGGTGAACTAGTTTGCAATCCAAATATCTAGAATAAAAAAATTCAACTGTATCACTAAAAATCAGCATCACTAAAAATCAGTTTTTAAAAGTAAATAAATAAAACTTTATTAACAATTTAAATAAGGTTTTATCATCTTTAAAATACAGTAATGGGGTTGGGCATAGTGGTGCATCCCTGCAATCCCAGTAGGTATTAAGGAAGCTGAGGCAGGAGGATCACTATGAGTTTCAGGCCAGCCTATGCTACATAGTGAATTTGAGGCCAACCTAGACTACATAGTGAGACCCTGTCTCAAAAAAGAAATACAGTAATAATGTAATACAAGCACAGAAATTTCCGTCCTCTGTGTAATTAAAATACTAAATAGTTGACATAATATAAGGTGACAAATTTAGTCTTTCTCAGAAATACTTGTCTTGATAAAAATAAACTGAATGTCACTTGGTGGCAATTAAGAGTTGATATTTTGAGGTGGTTCATGACTAATATAAACAAAGTTTTAGATTAATATCTTCTTAGTATGCATATATCTTAAATTTTTTGGTCTTAAGCTAAGAAAATTTTTGTGATTTTGGGAATTTACCATATTTAAAATGAATACATATTGAATTTATATGTGATATGTCTCACTTTAATCATTTATAAAGGTGAATAAGTGTAGACTACATTTAATGAGCATTCAAAAACTTATAATAAGAATTAATATTTGTACTAAGTATTATAATTTCATTAAGAGGAAGTCATTTGTGAGTTCTTCTTTAAAACTTCTTTATATATCCTTTTCAATTAAATGACATTATTTTATTTAAATACTTTATCTAAAAATTTCTTTTTTGGGGTGGGGTACCAGGAATCGAACTCAGGACCTTGTGCTTGCTAGGCAGGCGCTTGTGCCACTGAACTATATCCCCAGCCCCACCTAAAAATTTCATCTTTTAAATACAACAGGATCAAAGAATTAAAGACTTTAAGGGCTAGAAGAATCCTCACCATACAGTCATTAGATAGGAGTCCCAAACTTCAGTTTGCATCACAAGTCCACAGTGCTAGGGTACAGCCCATGAAGCTCTTACCGAAATAAACAGGGAACCCACACCTGGCCCAAGATGGCTGTAATGCACATGGTCTATGGATCCCTGGGAGGAACAGTATTCCCGCAGTGTACCCCATTTTCTCCCTAAATCTAGACATTTTCTCCTAAGACATTTTCTGCCTCAAATTACTTTCTTCTCAACCCCTCCTGGCAACACATTGCCTCCTAGGGCAGGAACCTACACGTGGAAACAAAGTCGGTTACACAAATCTGCCAGTGCAAAGACACCGGACACACTGAGATAAAAGAACTGACCTGCTTCTTCTGGTATCTGTTCATCAGATTCAAAAATAAGGCGTAACATCTGGAATCGCTGGCCAGTGCTGTACAGCAGTCATGGTAAGAGGTTAGTTTGCTGCAGAAATGCCAAGTGGGAAAACAAAACTAAATTTTATTCTTCTATCAAATTATTTTAAAATTTTATTAGCACATTTGCTATATATAAATGATGCCATTCACCATGGGGAGCTGATACATGTGCATAACACTTTTTAATTCTTTTTACGTCTCCCACCCCACCTCTTGGTCCTTATCTTTTTCTGTAAAATTCAGGTACATAGAGTTATCATTTTAAATGTGGCTCTTCAAAGTACTGCCCAATTAATAAGAAAGAGTCATGAAACACTTCTCACGCCAGTCTGGAGAAGCTGTAAAGAAGTTTGCTGTCTGCTCTAGATTCTGGGGGGAATGGAGCAGAACAAGTAAGCAGGTCCTGTGAAAAATAGAAGCCTGAAGACCTTAATACCTCTATATGGTGTGAATTCACACACTCCCATGTGGTTTAGAAAACACAAGAAATGTACACCACAGCTGATGGGATCCCAGTGAATTCCTTCATACTCCATAAAAAAATGTAAAACTGCTCTAGTATACTAGGCCAGTAGTGCTAGGCTGATAGCAAGAAAAATAGGCCCTAAGGCAAAAATCCTTGAAAATGGCTTCAAAATTTTGAAGGATACAATAAAACCTGCAAGGTAATACTGACAAGCCCATATCAAATTGGGCAATGTTCATAAATTTCTTACTAATTGATAGATCAATAGGTAAAACATCATTAATATTTTTTAAAAATTTGACTATGTACCAAGCTATACACAAGTCTCAATAAATGTTCAGAAAACTGATATCTTACAGCCCATATCCTCTGGTGAAAAAGTAACAGGGAGCAATGGTGCCCACCTGTAGTCCCAGCAATTGGGAGGCTGAGGTAGGAGGATCCCTTGAGCCCAGAAGTCTGAGATCAGCCTAGACAACATACCAAGATCTCAAAAAAAGGTGCACTTTAATTAGAAGTCAATTTTAAAAGTTTATTTTAAAACATACTGTTAGAAATTTAAAGCCATATATCTATGGGTCAAAGAAATAAGAAAATCTAAAAACACTTAGATCAGAGTAACAAATATTGTAAATTAAAATTTTTAAGATGTAGCTAAAGCAGTATTCAGAGGTAAATGTATAGCCTTAACAAGACCATAAAGAAAAAAATTGAATTTCTAATGAGAATAAAAGAAAAATATAATACAGAGAGAAGAAAAAATATAATGTGGAGAGTTAAAAAAAGGATTAGTAAGAGCAAAAGGACTAGGATAGAAAACAAACATGTAATGAAGTGGCTCAAACAATCTGTTAGCTCATTTCAAAAACTAATAAAACTGGCAAACCTTTGGCAAGATTCATTTAGAAGAAAAGAGAAACATCATAAATAATCAAAATTGGGAGCCAGGCCTGGTGGCACATGCTTGTAATCCCAGTATTTGGGAGGCTGAGGTGGGAGGATTCCTGTGACTTTGAGGCCAGCCTGGGCTGCAAAGTGAGTTCAAGGCCAACTTGAACTACATAGTGAAGTCCTGTCTCACAAAGACAAAAAACAAACAAACAAACAAACAAACAAACAAAAACATGGGGAATGAAAATCAATGCTAACAACAAAAGGCAGTTAACACAATGGTTCAAAGTATTCCAGAGTCAGAACAACTGGCTGAAACAGCAGCAGCCCTACAACTTACTGTGTTGGTCTTAGGAAAACTACCGCGTGCTTGCTTGCCTCAGTCTCTTCACCTATCAAGTGAACACCACAGTAATGGTACCTACCTTCAAAAGTTGTAAGTATTAGATGAATCCGTGTTTAGGAAGTACTCAGAATATTGTCCAGCATCTCATAAGTACTATACAAGTATTTTTTAAAAAATAAAAGGGAGGGGCTGGAGATATAGCTCGGTGGCGGAAGTGCCTGCCTGGCAAGCGCAAGGTTGTGAGTTTGATCCCCGGTACCGCAAAAAAAAAAGAAAAGAAAAAAAAGAAAAAAAAATAGGAACCTAATTAGATGTAACAGAGATTAAAGGGCTAATATGTAAAAGAGCATTTGAAGCAATTTAATATTGTTTAAAAACATCATCTTGCTTTGAGGCAACCTGGATTCAAATGGTCACCACCAAGGAATGAGTGAGCCAACATTTAAAAACTACCAAAGTAGAGTAACCTTCAATTAGAAACTAGGTCAGATCAGACATCTAATCAGTGCTCCTCCTTTTGAATTAAAACTCTGAAGTATTGTTTCCAAGTATTTCAGAAAGTTCCTCCTGTCCCACAGTATGTAGTCCTTTATCTCCAGTGACTGAGAAGATTTAATGAAATAAAAATATTAGGATAGCTCACAGCTGACCGAAGAATTAAAGTGACTAACAGCTGGTGAGTTTAGAGCCGCATTACAATCACATGGAAGTGGAATCCATTTACATCATGTATTTTAAGTTTGAGCCACTAGATTTTAAGTTTGAGCCACTAGATTTGCCTTTCTTGCTAAGTGAAGAAAAAGCCAAAAAACAAAAAACAAAAAAAAACAACCAACAATCCGTCCTGGTCTCTCTCTCTCTCTCTCTCTCTCTCTCTCACACACACACACACACACACACACGAAATAACCCAGGCTAGCATTTCTTCAAGGCTACTTCACTTTTTTAGTCTACCTACCTGAATATTCTGGCAATATTAGTACAGACGTCCTTGTCGTCCATGTACTGTTCCATCACTGTACAGAGCTGGGGAAAGGTCCCATCACCCAGACACTGGCTCCTTGCTTGTGGTGAATTGACCAAGTTTCTCAAGGTAGCAGTTATCTGGGATAAAAGCGTGTTTGTGCTATTTTTAAAAACTGGAAAATACAGCTGCACAACACAATTCACCCCATATATTTCAGTTAGAGCAACAGGTAAACTAAGTCCCTACGATGATTCTTCCACTAGGGGACATGGGCCTGGGCACAAGTAACATGAAATGAAAACAAAGAAGGACTAACTTGGTTGAAAGGTGAAGAATGACCCTGTGATAACCCCATCAGTTCTGTAGATTTGAAACTTCTTGCTCTACTGTTCTGGTAAGTAGCATGAGATAATGACGTGGCCAATGAATATTTCAGGCTATAGACTTATTCTCTTCTAAGAGGCAAGCTTTCCACTTGAACACGGATCTACAATGTGGTCTTCTAAACTAAGCAACAGGCCTTTTGTGAAGACTAATAAACTGTTCTAGGAATTCCAGACCATTGTTACCATAAAATGGAAAATTTGCATCATGTGACCCGGCCCTGCCTGCTCTTCTTCTGAGACAGTCCAGGCGCTCGGGCATTACTGGTTTGCCTTGATCCAAAGGGTGACTCACGCACTTTCCTCACTGGAGACCACGAGTGCCCCGGCGAGTCCTGACCTGAACCCAGGCGGGTGGAAATATGGCGGATCGTGGAGCGCCCATTCCGACCCTGAGCGCATGAGCAGTTCCTTTTTCCTGCATCGCCTGATCTAAATCCCCATGCAGTCACTGCTCCCAGCACATTGTACGGACTGCGCGTGACTTGGCGAGGAAGTCAGGATGCCTGGAACATCTCCAGACTTACCAGTTGTGCTGGTAGGAAAAACCTGCACAAAACATACACCACACATTGGAAAAGTACCAGTGACACCTCAGTCTGTGACACCACTATTCATTGCTCCAGCCCTCAAAGTCCTAGAATCCTGCCTTTCTGCTTTCTGTCACCTGAAGCCCGGCTGGCCCCTTGTCCACTGCTCCCAGGATAAGATTCGGTGCCCTGACTGCAGGCCAGGCCTCACGTGGTCTGGTTCTTACCAAGCCCTCAAGCTTCCTCTCACCCGCGCTTCTCCACAGCCACACCATTCAACGTCACGTCTCACTGCTCCTCCACGAGCTTCAGTGAGGCAGGAGCAGGTGGCTGTGGTCCACCTTGCTCGTCTTTTCATCACTGTCCCCCCAGGTCCAAGACCAGTGCCCTGCTCGCACATCTCCAAAGGGAACAGTGGCATGCACAGAAAGGCGGGGACCTCAGAAAACCGTGAGTTAGGCAGACAACATCTCTGAGGCAGAGAGAATGGAAGAGTTGAGGAGCAGAGTAGTTTTGAAAAGTACTGTGTGAAAGAAAAATGGACTTCCTCAAAGGAGGTGGTTCTCTGGGTACTTGCTCCCTATTTTTTCTCATCCGAGCCAGCAGCTCCCTCCCAGACTCTGAGACTGCCCCGCCTCCTCCCTCCCCACAGCTGACTGGGCCCCTGCTCCTCTTTCCCATTTCCAGGTCGCTGCAGCTTCACCAAGCTGCACCTCTCACCAAGCTCCCTGGGGCCCTGAGCAGGCTCCTTCCTCGGCCTCTGCATGTCTAGCTCATCTCCCTACGGGTCTCAGTGCTGGTAAGGCCATCTCAAAAGCCAGCCCTCCCTGTCCAAGGCCCTCTTCCGAGGTCCTAGGCCCAGTGGGCACCAACAGCATCCCAAAGGCTCGTCACCCTCTGAGGCACATCCTACCCTTCCCGGCTCACCTCCTCCCACTTCCCTCGGCCCACCCTTCTTTCAGACTCCATACTACATGTCCTCAGGCGTTCGCAGTCCGGCACCTTTGAGTGGACAGTTTCCTCCACTCCTTGAGAGCCTCCTGTTTCTTCCTACTGGTAAGCCTTGCTCAGTCCTGGGGACCCCGTCAGGCTCGCTCCTCCCCCGGGAGACTGCTCAGTAGGTGACCAATCACTCCCTCTTCTGTGTCAACAAGCACTGCTGGGGCTTCTGTTGCACCCATGACAGAGTCACTGGGGCTCCACGCACCCTCCCCCACTCTGGGCTTCTCTAGTGCACAGTTATTTATTCTTTCTACAGAAAGGGCAATAAAATGTGCAAATAAAAAGCTCTTCAGATGTTCAGCTGCTGGCTGGCTGCATGGATGAAACTCAGAAGGGGAGAGCCAAGGGGGAGAGGGGGAAGGAGGAGAGGAGGAGAACGCAGGAGGGAGGTTTCCCCCTTTAAAAGCCTCTGGAAGAAAGTTCATGGGATTAGCAGAGACCTGGGGGGACCAGACCTAAGGCCCTGAGGGAAAGTGTCCAGAAGAGGCCCCCAGGCAGATGCAGTCTGCAAGGCCCTCACAGAGTCAAGCGCTGCCACCAATCCTGAGGGTGCCCACTCTCACTGCCAGGTGGGGGTGGCATACTGTTTGCTCATATCAGTGGCTTTTTCTGGGGAACAAGAAATTAGAAAAATGGGTGGGAGGAGAAGCCAGCTACATAGCATGGTCACAGTAAAGGCAAGTTCCAGATCATCCACTTAACTCTGAACTTTGCTTCAAAGGTTGAGCTCATTGTATATAAGTGAAAATTGAAATCCAAACATGAACTCCTAGTCGAGTACAAACACATTTGAGGAGACCACTAAGGAGTCCTGGAGTGGCGGTCTTTGCAGTGCATGTCCCTCTCGGGAGGGCCGCCCACTGATCCTGCTCCCAGGCAGGAGGTGACCAAAGTCCAAGCTTAGTGAATAAATATATAGTTTAACTTTCCACTCTAATCTCTATCATTCCTAATTCTACTTAGATGCATTTTTTATTGTACATAATCTTTCAAGCAACTTTGAATCCTTTACTTGAGAAAAGCATAAGTTAAAGGAACACACAGATACTTGTTTAGCTTCTAAGGCAATTAACTACAGTAATTCCCAATCTTGGGAATGTCATTTGACCAAGAAAGAGTAAACTGAAAAATCTGAGTTTTGATTCTTGCTTTTTCCCATCTCCTAACCTGCAACTGTGTGGGACAGACATACAGAGACAAAGGCAATCAGTCGGAAGGAGGAAAAAAGAAAATACAGGTGACAATCAACAAAGTAGATTAATAAAAATTTGGCTGTCCCTGCTTATCAGTAGTTGTGAGATGATGTTTGGGACAAAAATAAAAAAGGATGTACATCTTTGGTAGTACAGTCAAGAGAAAAACATTCCATCGTGATTCTGGTTACTACTTTGCTGAAACATAGTTGAGCTCTTAGGCAGCCATTTCTTTGTTCTCCACATTCCTGATCATAAGAGGCACTTCCTCAATCAGCCTAGCTTCGCTGTGAGTTTGGTAGACCTGCCTACCTCATACTGAACTAGTTTAAGTTCTCATTGTGAAGTCAACATTGGGAGGCCCATTTTATTTGTTTGCTTCTTTGTTTTTGAGATATGACCTCACCATGTTGCTCAGGCTGGCCTCAGATTCTTCATTCTCCTGTCTCGGCTTCCTGAGTGCTGGGATTACAGGTGTACCCCCCTTTGCCCAGTGGAAGGCCCATTTGAGGGAAAAATTAATTATTCTAAGAAGAGATCATATAATTTATAAAGGCTCAAACACCATTTTAATACAGTAAAATTAGAACCCAAAGGAGTTAGCATCTATTTTTTTCAAGTTGAGTATTGCTACTTAATCATGAATTTCAAATTATGTCTTCAACTATGAATTAATCAAAAAACTTTAGTAAACACAAGAAAATTTTATCTTAAAATCTGCGTACCCTGACTTGGGTCATAACACGGGCCCAGCAGCTGTGGTCCTTTTCCCGACATCCCCTGCAGCTGTGGGCGGGTGCCAGACAGAGAGAGTTCCTGAGTGGACCGGAGTCTCCACACACTGCCCATTTCCAGAATGGATGACCCTCCCTCCTCCCTTTGTCCTTGTTCTCCCTCCGAATTTCAGTCCTCAGGGGACTCACACCAGCCATCACTGTGGCTCGTGGTTCACCTGGACCTCTCTCGTTCAGGTGTGGCAGAAGTTAGACAGACTTTTCAGCCAACCCGGAAGTATCACCAAGCATTGTGACATGGTTGTCTGGAGAATCCATTCTACAATCCAAAAAAGTTTCTTTGAAACCAATGGAACATAATGCAACCGAAAACTGTACCATTAACAGACTGGAAATTACTATCCTTCCGCAACCCAACCAGGGTTAAGATTGCGTTTTATTTCATTTTATCTATCAAGTGCAGCTCTGTTGATATACTAAGCAGCCTCCTGATGGGATGTAAAACCGTTCCATGAGCTGTGCCTCTGCTGCTTCTTAAGGCAACTCCATGAGGCAGAAAGGAAAGGTGTTAATGTTCCCTGAGGAGGGAACTGAGGGTCAGAAAGTTTTCCAGCTTCCAAGTTGGTTGGCGCCCTGGGCTTCTGGCTCCTTGTCTGTTGCTTCCCCTATTCCACCTGGCATTTATCTGTAAATGTATTTTATTTCTCCATTGTCTGACATATCCATAACCAAAACCTCCCGAGCTTTATCTTGACTTCACTGCCAAGTGCAAAATGGTTCGCTTCCCACTGATGATGTGAAAGAATAAATACAGCTGCCAGAGACCACAAGTGGTGTCAAATGATTTCAACCCAAAGCCGCGCCATTTTCCAACCTCAGCGGAACCATCCCCCTCAATTAATAAAAGCACGTTCATCTTTCGCGTTTGCGCCCCGCCGAGACCACATGTACGCCTAAACGAGAGCCTGTGTGGTAACCCAAGAAGTTTCATATTGTCTCACATCTGATTAATGCAGTTCTGGCTGAGATGAAAGAAACCAGAGGCAAGATGCCCCTGCACACACGAAACTACTGGTACCAAAGATTTGTAAGCATTTTACTGGAATTTTCTAATCTATATGCATGCGAAAGTATTATTAATGCATAATCCCTGATAACACTTGGCCCGTGGTCACTGAGGCCTCTTTGGCACATTCGCACCATGGTTGTCCCACTTTAGCAGGAAACGCTTCTGTCCTGTTCCACACCCCCATGTCCTACCATTTTGCTTTTTTATTGTCGTTGTTGTTGTTTTT